GACAGTTTCAATAATTAACACATTGCACACATTCTTCCTAGTGGTTAATTGCTGTACAAGATGCGGACATGATATCCTATTTACAAACACTATTGGAACAAATCCCTCTATTCATTAAGACAGTCTAACTATATATCTATTCTAACCATTATGAATACAAAGATACAATATGGACATTCATCTATATCCCCTTTTTTTGTTTAGTTCTGTTATTTGAATATTATAGGTGTGTTAACTCAGCAGAATATCCTAAAAGAGTCCAGTAGTCCATAATAGTATTGGGTCTTCCACTTCACTGATGAATAAAGTTTCAATGTCTTGTTTATGCATTATTTTTATATCCCCATTTCAGGTTTTTTTTTTTTCCCCCCCTCTTTGAAACTGGATCTTACTGTGTAGTTCAGGCTGTCCTTAAATTCACTGTGCAGCTCAGGCTGGCCCCTAGACTTACAGAGATCCTACTGTCTCAGCCTTCCTTCCAAGTGCTGGAATTACAGGTGTACCCCACTACACTAGACTTCATTTTATTTTATTTTTTATTTATTTATTTGTTTATTTTGACAACTGGGGATTGAACTGAGGCCCATCCCCTTGCCAGTGAAACACTTATTCTATTGAGTCATCTCCCCAACCCCTATTTTATTTTTTAGATTACATTTCTAAAAGAAAATTTGCCATGACAAAGATAGAAATATTTTTAATGCCAAATTGATTTCTGGAGTATAGTGGTAACAATTTATAATTCCACTGATAGTATATATTTTTCCATCTTAAGATCTTGCTAACATGTTTTTAAAAGTTTTTTACCAGGCATTGAACTTAGGCCCTTGTGCTTGCCAGGGAAGCGCTTATTCCACTGAGCCATCTCCCCAGTCCCTAAAAGTTTTGTTAGTCTTTTGATAACAATTAAGATGCCACCCAACTGGAGTTACATCATTTTATTTAAATTTTTTTTCTGGTATCAGAGTTTATTGGTATATGTTAGATCATTTTAAATTACTACTTTTAAATACTACTTTTGTCTTTTGAAATTAAGAAAATAACAGGTTATTAAAATCTAAGAGGAATTTAGTTTTCTACCCTTTGTAAAACTTATGATAATTTCATTCAAACACATCAGGTTATTATTTTATGGGGTAAAATTTGCCTTTCGAGTACTATTGCAGACTGTGGTACTGTATCTTAGAACAAAGTTATTTTTTGCTATCTGTATGGAGCAATTTATAATGTTAATTTAAACTGAAACATACATCCTATTTTCATTATAACATCTTGTTACCTTCTTCTTATTTTTTTTTTTTTTTTTTTTGCTCCGAATGCCTTCAAGGCATGACTGGCTGGCTTGAGTAGTGGGGATCGAACCACAGCAACCTGAGCCTGACGGCTTTGTTGAAGCAGCCACTTAAAGAACTGAGCTAAGGGGCAGGCCCCCATCTTGTTACCTTCTAAAGGAGGGAGGCTGAAGTAAGGTAGTATCAAGATTGAGTGATCGATATCAAATCAAACACTCCTAAAGTGGGAAACACTTGTTACTGCAGCTGCCTGGAGGCTGAGGTGAAGCCATTCTGTGTTCCAGGCCTCTTGGGCAGCTTTGTAGGATGCTGTCTCAAAAAGGGACCTGAGGGGGCTGGGGAGATGGCATAGTGGAATAAGCGCTTCCCTGGCAAGCGCAAGGGCCTGAGTTCAATCCCTGGTTCTGCAAAAAAAAAAAAAAAAAAAAAAAAAGGGACTTGAAGTGTAGTTCACTGGTAGAGTGTTTGTGTAAGCTCTAGCAGGTACTAAGCCCTGAGTTCAATTCCAGTACTGAAAATTAAACAAAATTAAAGGTGACATTTTGCAGTTATATTAGCTTTTTGCAGTTATGTTGGCTTTTCCTATCCTTTAGTAAGATACAGTCTTGGTAAAACTTTACCTGATGCTGTTGTTTGGCTGGCCTAGATTTAAAACAAAAGGAAAAGCTTTGGCAGAGATGAAAGCCATAGCAAAGGAAGTATTTTCTGTGGCCCATGCCAAGCAAGACATTCTGATGCTCAGGCTCTTTGCTAGGAGAAAGCATACTATGTGAAAGAGGACCTGCTGAAAGGAGTTGTTTTCAACTGCTCCTATGATCACAGTGAACTAGCATAGAAGAAAGCCTGGATTGTACTTTGAATAATGAATGGGAGCTGAGGTAAAGATAACGAATGTAAAGAACTCTTTCAAGACATTGATTGAAGCAGGAAGAGATGAATGCCATCATACACTGAGGGAGAAGAAAAAACATGTAAAACAGTCAGCCTGGGAAGACTTTCATGAGTTTGTAGGTAGAGAGGGAGAAATTCTGTGGATTCGAGGAAACTAAAGGAGTTCTAGGTGAGGAGCCAGTGGATGCTTTTCCTTTTCTAAGGTAGAAAGTAAAGATACTAAAAAGATGAAAACCAAAGGGAGGCAAGGTAAAGCACTTTGTTCAATGAAGTTTTTTTCTCTTGGACTTACCAGCTATGGTTATCTGCAAGAAAAAGAAAAATAAAATAATAAGTTTTGAGAATAAAGTTGAGCACATAAAGAGAAGAGCAACAACTGTGGCGCATGGAAAAGGTAATTAATTAGGAAATAAATGAAGATTGCTTTAGTACTGAAGGTAGAAGTAATGCTATGTGATTTTTTTTTTTTTTTAATCCCTAGTAGCTTCTGCCAGTGGGAATTGAAGTGAGAAAAGCAAACAGTTTAATTGGCCCTGGGATATCAAAACCCTTGTGGGAATGGTTGCTGGGATGCAGTCAAATGATTGACAATGTCTGGGCATGGCCAAGTGTGCCTGTAGTCCCAGCAGTTCACTCTTACTGTCTCCTTAATGCTGTGGACCCAAACTCAGAGGAAAGAGAGTTACAGAAATCTGAAAAAAATAGTTCATAGTTATAGGTGGCAGTTCAAAAGAAACGAATTGTCTAGTTTTGTTTTTATATGTTGCTGATTAGTTAGCATTCATCTTTATAATGTTATGTGAAAGTCTAGATTCAGTTGCTCAGATAATTGCGTGTTAGATTTCATGACAAGTTCAAGGCTAGCCTTGGCAATTTAGTAGAGAGCCTATCTTTTTAGTAAAAATGGATTGTGTAGTGCTACCAGATAAAGAAGGAAATAGAGTCATAGGCTGCAGCTGAAAGATGTGGGAAGAAGTAAGTTACAACCAGAAGCTAAGAACTTTCCTTAGGATGGGAAAAAAGAAGTGATTAATAGTAGTGGTAA